GTGGCAGAGCATTTGTCAAGATGAATTACCTATCCAGTGGATGTTTCCTTTAGGAATGAAGGGGAAATAGACATTCTCCAATCAAGGAAAATTAAGATAATTTGTGGCTAGCAGAAAACCTTAAAGAATGGTTAATTGAAGTTCTTTTGTCAGATTTGTTGAAGACCAGATGGTTGTAGATATGTGGTTTTATTATTCTGTTGCATTGGTTTATGTGCCTGTACCAGGACCATGCTGTTTTGGTTATTGTAGCCTTGTAATATAGTTTGAAGTCTGGTAGCCTGAGGCCTCCAGCTTTGTTCTTTTTGCTTAGGATTGCCTTGGCTATGTGAGCTCTTTTTTGATAGCGTGGAATCAACCCAAATGCCCATGAATGATGGACTGGCTAAAGAAAATGTGGTACATGTACACCATGGAACATTATGCAGTCATAAGAAGAAATGAGATCATGTCCTTGGTGAGGACATGGATGGAGCTGGAAGTCATTATGCTCAGCAAACTAATGCACAAACAGAAAACCAAACACTGCATGTTCTCACTTACAAGTGGGAGCTGAACAGTGAGAACACATGGACACAGGGAGGGGAACAACACACACTGGGGCTTGTCAGGGAAGGGGAGGGGGAGGGAGAACATCAGGAAAAATAGCTAATGCATGCTGGGCTTAATACCTAGGTAATGGGTGATAGGTGCAGCAAACCACCATGGCACATGTTTACCTATGTAGCAAACATGCACATCCTTCACATGTACCCCTGAACATAAAATTTAAAAAGTTCTGAAAACAAAAAGGAAATGAAAGAAGGAATCCTAGAATATAGGGAAGAAATATAAAACAGAAAAATAGATACACAGAGGGGTAGATATAATAGACTATTCTCATGAGTATTTCCTCTCCTGTACTTTTTTCGATTTATTTTGTTATTCTTTATTTAGATTTTTAAGTCAAGGATTTAATTCATTTATTTTCACTCTTTCATTCTTATTGATAAAGCTTTTGAGGCCATGAATTTGCTTCTTATCCTTGCTTTAAATGTCTTCCTTAGTTTCCATATGGAAATGGTATTTGCCTGCCATGCTGCTGCCATCATTCTATTTTTCACCTTTCTGAATCTGTTTTTGTCTTCTCTGTGTAGCATAAGTTGAGTCTGTCTTTGCTTTGTGAGATAATGTGAAAACTTTTAAGTTTTATGTGTATTTGACTATATTTGCTTTGTTTCTGTATATGATTCTCTTTTAAACTTTTTGTATTTAGGAACTTAGTTTTGTATTTTGTATTTGCTATTATTTCCTCTATTATTGCATATATGAAACTTTTTTTTATAACTTCTATACTTGAATGACAGATTGACTAGATATAAAATACTTGGTTCTCTCTTTTTAAAGTGTCTTAAAAATGCATCTACACCACTGCTTTGGTTTGTATGTTTCTTTTAACAAGTCTGATGCTAGTCAAATTCTTCTGTCCCTTATAAATTATGTGACTTCTGTGCCTGGAGGAATTTTTCTTCATTTTTCATAGTTCTACTGAAAGATGTCTTGAGTTAGTTTACCATACCAGATTAATTTTTTCCAGTACCCCCTGGATCCTTTCCAAAGAAGACCCGATTCAGGTCTTCTTTTATTTCTGGAAAGTTTTCTTGGATTATAATTTAAACACTAGTTTTGATTCATTGCTGTGGGGTTTTTTTTCAGGCGCTCCAGTTTTAAGTATGTGCCTTTCTTCCATTTCTGCCACTTTGATACTTCTCACTTCTTTCTCTGGTATCATTTTCATTCTTCATCATTGTTTTAGTGCCTTTACTTCAATTCCTTCATTAACTTATTTGAATTTTTTTTCTTTTAATCATCTTGTGATTTCGTTCTTATTTTTTGATAATGTTCTCATTTTTTTCCATTCCCTTTCTATGTCTAATAAACTCTTTATTTCGTTCTGATTTTTTCCCCATTTCTGTTCTTGGTTTTTGAATTTCTTGCTTAAATTGCTTTTTTAAAATTTCTGAATGCTCATTTGAGGATATTTAATTCAACTTTTTTTTTCTTTTTTTTTTTAAATTTATTTATTATTATTATACTTTAAGTTGTAGGGTACATGTGCATAACGTGCAGGTTTGTTACATATGTATACTTGTGCCATGTTGGTGTGCTGCACCCATCAACTTGTCATTTACATCAGGTATAACTCCCAATGCAATCCCTCCCCCCTCCCGCCTCCCCATGACAGGCCCCTGCGTGTGATGTTCCCCTTCCTGAGTCCAAGTGATCTCATTATTCAGTTCCCACCTATGAGTGAGAACATGCGGTGTTTGGTTTTCTGTTCTTGTGATAGATTGCTAAGAATGATGGTTTCCAGCTGCATCCATGTCCCTACAAAGGACACAAACTCATCCTTTTTGATGGCTGCATAGTATTCCATGGTGTATATGTGCCACATTTTCTTAATCCAATCTGTCACTAATGGACATTTGGGTTGATTCCAAGTCTTTGCTATTGTGAATAGTGCTGCAATAAACATACGAGTGCATGTGTCTTTATAGCAGCATAATTTATAATCCTTTGGGTATATACCCAGTAATGGGATGGCTGGGTCATATGGTACATCTAGTTCTAGATCCTTGAGGAATCGCCATACTGTTTTCCATAATGGTTGAACTAGTTTACAATCCCACCAACAGTGTAAAAGTGTTCCTATTTCTCCACATCCTCTCCAGCACCTGTTGTTTCCTGACTTTTTAATGATCGCCATTCTAACTGGTGTGAGATGGTATCTCATTGTGGTTTTGATTTGCATTTCTCTGATGGCCAGTGATGATGAGCATTTTTTCATGTGTCTGTTGGCTGTATGAATGTCTTCTTTTGAGAAATGTCTGTTCATATCCTTTGCCCACTTTGTGATGGGGTTGTTTGTTTTTTTCTTGTAAATTTGTTTGAGTTCTTTGTAGGTTCTGGATATTAGCCCTTTGTCAGATGAGTAGATTGCAAAAATTTTCTCCCATTCTGTAGGTTGCCTGTTCACTCTGATGGTAGTTTCTTTTGCTGTGCAGAAGCTCTTTAGTTTAATGAGATCCCATTTGTCAATTTTGGCTTTTGCTGCCGTTGCTTTTGGTGTTTTAGACATGAAGTCTTTGCCCATGCCTATGTCCTGAATGGTACTACCTAGGTTTTCCTCGAGGATTAAAAAACTGCTTTAAAGTTCATATGGAACCAAAAAAGAGCCCGCATCTCCAAGACAATCCTAAGTCAAAAGAACAAAGCTGGAGGCATCACGCTACCTGACTTCAAACTATACTACAAGGCTACAGTAACCAAAACAGCATGGTACTGGTACCAAAACAGAGATATAGACCAATGGAACAGAACAGAGTCCTCAGAAATAATACCACACATCTACAGCCATCTGATCTTTGACAAACCTGAGAGAAACAAGAAATGGGGAAAGGATTCCCTATTTAATAAATGGTGCTGGGAAAATTGGCTAGCCATAAGTAGAAAGCTGAAACTGGATCCTTTCCTTACTCCTTATACGAAAATTAATTCAAGATGGATTAGAGACTTAAATGTTAGACCTAATATCAACTTTTAATTCTGCATAATTTTCTTCTGCTTTGTGAGATTTTATCGTTCAGTGGTGTGGATTTCATTAGCTGAAATATTTGACTTTCATGTTTGTTATCTTCTTAAAGAAGCTCTGGATATTTATATAGGCATTTTTTCGTCTATTATTTTGTGTTTTCTAGTCCAAGTGCAAACCTCTTCTGAGAATGTAGCATAGTGTGATTTTTTTCAACGAATAACTTTTTTCTTTTTTTGTGTGTGATGGCAGTAGCGATGGATAGTCTTTTGGTTTGGCTTCTCATTTTTCCTGCTGGATACTTTTTCCTTCTTGCACTCCCCTTTTTATTCTCCTTTTTTTCCAGAAATGATGCCTTTCTGACATTGGTGTTTTTGTCCCTACTCATTCTTAGTCCCTGCTCTGTACTCCCATTTACCAATTTCCCAGGGCTCTTTTTACACATACGGTGGACTTTTCTCTTTCTTGGGTTATTTTAGTTCCAATTTTGACCCCTGTCTTTCCTTTTCTTCTTTATCCTTTTGTGGGTCTCCCCTTATTCTCTGCAAAGGCTTAGGTCAGGGACTTGAGGTATAACTCTATATATTCGTTGCTTCCTTTTTGATTCATAGGTGATTTGAAGTTTGTGCTGTTACCTTTTTTCTATATATGTGGTTGTATTGTTCTACTTGTTGGTTGATATATGCAGAGATTTTAATTTAGGCTGCTGTAACTTTCCCCAGGCTAACCAGAAGTACACAGTTGTTCCCTTTTTAATCAAGGCTAGTCAAAAAATAAACAACAACAACAACAAAATAGAAGCCTCATTGCCAGTTCTAGTTCATATTCCTCTTTCTTAAAGGAAAGCTTAAATTTTCACATTTCAAACTGTTATTTCTTGAAGATGGGCTCATATATTTCCACAGGAGTGGTAGAAGAACTTTTAAGGTAGTGTTTTGAAAAATGGATTTTCAGCTGAGAAATAATATTTGGAAACAAACACATAAACACTCCTTAACAGAAATCAAAAAGAAGTAAGCTTTTAAAACTTCCTTTAGATTAGGATATATATAAGCAGCCACTTTTCTGACGCACCCAGAGTTTTCTCTTTGTTCAAATCCCCCCTCCCTCTGTCTCTGTATGGGGAGCTGTTTTCTTCTTCCTTCTTTCTTTCTTTTCTATTAACCTTTTCACTCCTTAAGACAAAACAACAACAACAACAAAAGATTTAGGAGATGTAGAATTCTAGTGTTGCTATATATTTTATACCAGTGTCGTCAGTTTTAATTCTTTGCTTTTAAACAAGATTTTCTAAAGGAACTTTTTTAAAAAACCTCACCATTTATACCTCACATAATTAAAATTTTTCTATGTCATTTATAGATATAATTGAATACTTTAACTGGGTGATTTGTAGTTTTAAATACTGGACTTCTATTTTATTTTCTAGCTAATTCAAGGTAGTGCCTGGTGGTTTGGAACAATCATTTTGAAATTTCTGACATCTAAAATCTTGGGTGTTTCAGACCACGTAAGTACGTTTTAGTTAAAACATAAAAGTTTTTATAAATATGTAGCTGAATGAAAACTTTGAAACCATCTATTCTTATCTCTTCATTTTACAGAGGCTAAGTGCCTTCTTTAAGGTCTCTAGACAAGTTATTGGCAGAGTCAATCATAAAGTCTTGCAGGTCAGTGATCATTGCAACCCACTAAAAAGAAAGAATATTCGTGAATGCTGACTTAGCCTTTTAGGAAAAAATCCTTTTTTTTATTTTTTTTAACTAACTTTAAACAAGTTTGTTAAGTAGTTATTTGTTTATATTTCAGTTAAAATGCAAATAATTAGTTGTTTACATCATAAGTTATCCATTTATTGCAGATGTTAACATATATATGGGAGGCCGTCCTCAGCTTTGAAAATACAGAACTCTTAAAATCTCAGTATTGTTTTATTTATTTATAACTATGGACTAAAATCAATGTATGATGTTTTAAGGCCTTTCTTGTTATATAAAAAGAAAATGTTAAAAAATTTTGATCTTTTTATTTTCTAGGAAATACATGAAGAGCATTTATCTCTCATGTGGTATTTTGTTTGTTAATGTCTTAAAGAGTAGCCCTCTTCAAGGCCTAAGTCCCTGCTTAACTAACTGGTTTAGGGAATAGAAAACAATGCATGAATCTACTTTTTATTTCTAGCACTTTCTGTTTAGAAATAAGTATACATGAGTATATCATACAATAATCAATTTTGAAATTTACCTCATTTAATACTATCCAATTAGGGCCCTGTTTGATGCTGAAATTATGTACTTTGGCAAGGGATTATAGTATTACTTCTCTAAAAAGTCAAATGCTATCTCTATGCAATATAACATGCAACATGTTTATATTAAATACAATTTCTAAGTGTAAGCATTTATTTGCCATTTATTGCTGGCTTTGCATGGTGGTTTATTAGTTTATTTGTTGCTGCTGGTCTCTGGTGTGTCTGACACATTTCCCCATTCTCCTTTCCTTTTTATTGTTTTTAACTTTATTATGTATGTCTTATGATAAACTTTATTTAGACCTTTTAAGTTATTTATTTATCTGTTAAGTTTGTTCATGATTATGTTTCTTGCCTTACTTCACATTGACCCCCAACTCTTTACAAATCTTTTTTTTTTTGAAACACAGTCTCACTCTGTCACCCAGGCTGGAGTGCAGTGGCCAATCTTGGGTCACTGCAGCCTCCAACTCCTGAGTTCAAGCAATTCTTGTGCCTCAGCTTACTGAGTAGCTGAGATTATAGGCAGGCGCCAACACACCCGGCTAATTTTTGTATTATTAGTAGAGATGGGGTTCCAGCATGTTGGCCAGCCTGGTCTCAAACTCCTGACCTCAAGTAATCCACCTGCCTTGGCCTCCCAAAGTGATGGGATTACAGGTGTGAACCACCATGTCTGCCCTACAAATCTTAAAAAAAGAAACAAAAAAAACCACACACGCTTCCTTGGTAGTCCTGAGTGACTTCCTTTATGTGACAGTTATGAGGAAGACCTGAAATTATAGTGGTTTGGTTACATTACTGTTAGTCACCAGGCCTACTCTAAATTAGAAAAATAAAGTGCAACTCTAGATTATCCATGAGTACTGGTAGATTAGGAAAAATAATTGAATGAAAACCGCTTATAGTCATCAAACTTATTATAAGATAATTTCCATCCTTATAAAATAATTTGAATTAAGAGTTTACTTGCCAAATATTTTCTTTTTCTGGCCTTCTGAGGATGCTGTGGAAGAATAATTGTCTCACCAAGAGCAGGTTGTAAATAATCAGTAGAAAAATAGAAGTTCTGCATTGGATTTGGTTGTTGGTATCTATTTTTAGTCTTGGAGATCAAATAGCTAAGTCAAAAATCAAAGTGGTATGTGTAATTGTTGTAATTCTTATGAGGATCAGATCTCATATTCAGTGGTTTGAATATATGTCTGTAAAACATCAAGAAGTACAAAATATTGTAATCAGTCTGTGAGGCTTTGTGAAAGTGACAATGCACAGAAAGCTTATGATCTACAATGTATGTTGAAAGAGGTTAAGTAAAATAGTTTTTCATCATAAGTTGTCTTATTATAAAATGTACTACATGGTGGTTTCTTCTCAGCAGATACTGATTTTAGCTCACTCTTTATCATCTTCTCTTTATTTTTTTCTGACTTCTTTCTACTTTTCATTTTTCATGATATTTCTCTTTTTTAGTTTCTGAAGTCAGCACATTGTATATTTGGTTCACTGTAGTTTTTTATTTTCTTAGGGAGATGTCTAAATACATTGGATTTATCTGCTCTATAAACTTTGTTTTTCTTACATCAATAAAGTATTACTGGCTATAGGCTATAGTCATTTGTGTAATTTTAATTCATTTTACTTTATTTTCTCCCAGATTCGCCTGGGTGGTCTTACAGCAGCCAGAATATTAAGGTATACAGATTTTGATACTTTAATATACACCTGTGCTCCCAAATTTGACTTCATGGAAAAAGCAGTATGAATGTTTTTTTCCTTCTCTACTAATACGAGTTTTTGCTCTAGTTTTTTTTTTTTTAATCTGAAAGTCAAAATTTTTACTTAGAAACAGTCAACTTATTTTATATTTTTTTACTGTAACTGCTAATCCACCTTCCTCACTTGTTTTTTTGTCTGTAAAATTAAAAAAAATCATATCTTATAGAGTTATTGATGATGGGTAAATGAGATAATCTGAGAAGAGTGTTTAACATACTATATGACCCATAATAATTACTATTATTTTCAATTACTTTCAGTAATCTAGGCCACTTGGAAATATGCGACCATTCAGGAAAAAAGTCTCAATTCTTGTTTCTGTTTTTAAGAAATTCAGTTTTATTACAGTTAACACCCCAAATATTACAACATTTTTAACAAGGTGTTACCAAGAAAGGTATGCTACTGATGAGCTTTAATGAACATATAAAAATTCATTTTAAATTATGCAAATGCAAGGTATTATTCTTTTTAAAAAGTTCATGCAATAAAGCTTTAAAATATAGCCTGGGCGTGGTGGTTCATCCCTGTAATCCCAGCACATTTGGAGACTGAGGCAGGTGGATCACGTGAGGTCAGGAGTTTGAGACCAGCCTGACCAACTAGTGGTAACCCCATCTCTACTAAAAGTACAAATATCAGCCAGGCATGTTGGTGCATGCCTGTAGTCCGAATCTGAGTAGGAGGCTGAGACAGGAGAATTGCTTGAATCCTGGAGGCAGAGATTGCAGTGAGCTGAGATGGCACCAGTGCACTCCAGCCTGGGCGACAGAGTGAGACTCTGTATCAAAATAAATAAATAAATAAAAAGATTGTCTTGGCAACGCAGGCTCTTTTTTGGTTCCATATGAACTTTAAAGCAGTTTTTTCCAATTCTGTGAAGAAAGTCATTAGTAGCTTAATGGGGATGGCATTGAATCTATATCTTGGCATTTACATATTGATTTTCTATCATGAGCTGTATTTCTTCCATTTTTTTTTTTTTTTTCACTGCTGTTTGTATTCTTGAGGTCTTCATCCTTGTAGTTATTCTATATTTTTTCTCTTTGAGCTTTGAATTTTCATTTTTCTTTTGTTGTTATTTTATAGAATGCTTTGATTTTCAATTGTTTTATCTGAACTTTGCTGAATTGCTTATCAGCTTAAGAGATTTGGGCTGAGACAATGAGTTTTCTAATATACAATCATGTCATCTGCAAACAAAATTTGACATCTTCTTTTATTGATCCTTATTTCTTTCTTGTGATTGCCTAGCAAACTTCAACATATGTTGAATAGGAGTGAAGAGGCATCCTTGTGCCAGTTTTCAAAGGAATGCTTCAGTTTTTGCCATTCAGTATGATATGACTGTGGGTTGTCATAAATAGCTCTTATTATTTTGAATATGTCCAAGGAATTTATTGAGAGTTTTTAGCATGAAGGCTGTTGAATTTTGTCAAAGGCCTTCTGCATCTATTGAGATAATCAGGTGGTTTTGTCCTGGTTCTGTTATATGCTGGATTACGTTATTGATTGCATAGACAATCCTAAGCCAAAAGAACAAGCTAAAAGCATCAGCTACCTGACTTCAAACTATACTACAAGCTACAGTAACCAAACAGCATGTACTAGTACCAAAACAAGATATAGACCAATGGAACAGAACAGAGCCTCAGAATAATACCACACATCTATAGCCACTGATCTTTGACAAACCTGAGAAAACAAAATGGGAAAGATTCCCGTTAATAAATGTGCTGGAAATTGGGTAGCCATAAGTAGAAAGCTGAAACTGGATCTTCCTACTCCTTAATGAAAATTAAGAGATTGAACTTAAATGAGACCTAAAATTAACCTAGAGAAACCTAGAATCCATTCACAAGGCATGGAAGGACTCATGTCAAAACACCAAAAGCAATGCAACAAAAGCCACAAACAAATGGGATCTAATTAAACTAAAGAGCTTCTGCACAGCAAAAGAAACTACCATCAGAGTGAACAGGCAACCTACAGAATGGGAGAAAATTTTTGCAAGCTACTCATCTGACAAAGGGCTAATATCCAGAACCTACAAAGAACTCAAACAAATTTACAAGAAAAAAACAACCCCATCAAAAAGTGGGCAAAGGATATGAACAGACACTTCTCAAAAAGAAGACATTTATACAGCCCAACAGACACATGAAAAAATGCTCATCATCACTCGCCATCAGAGAAATGCAAATCAAAACCACAATGAGATACCATCTCACACCAGTTGGAATGGCAGTCATTATAAAGTCAGGAAACAGCTGCTGGAGAGGATGTGGAGAAATAGGAACACTTTTACACTGTTGGTGGGACTGTAAACTAGTTCAACCATTGTGGAAAACAGTGTGACGATTCCTCACGGATCTAGAACTAGAAATACCATTTGACCCAGCCATCCCATTACTGGGTATATACCCAAAGGATTATAAATCATGCTGCTATAAAGACACATGCACACGTATGTTTATTGTGGCACTATTCACAATAGCAAAGACTTGGAACCAACCCATATGTCCATCAATGACAGACTGGATTAAGAAAATGTGGCACATATACACCATGGAATACTATGCAGCCATAAAAAAGGATGAGTTTGCGTCCTTTGTAGGGACATGGATGCAGCTGGAAACCATCATTCTCAACAAACTATCACAAGAACAAAACACCACACAATGCATGTTCTCATTCCTAGGTGGGAATTGAGCAGTGAGAACACTTGGACACAGGAAGAGGAACATCACACACCAGGGCCTGTCGTGGGGTGGGGGAAGAGGGGAGGAATAGCATTAGGAGATATACCTAATGTAAATGACGAGTTAATGGGTGCAGCACACCAACATGGCACAAGTATACATATGTAACAAACCTGAGTGTTGTGCACATGTACCCTAGAACTTAAAGTATAATAAAAATAAATAAATAAGTTTAAATAAATTAACTTGCTATTTATTGAGATAGATGTTCAGTTTTAGTAAATGCTCTGAGGATTTTTTAAATGTTCATTTCTTATTTGGGGGAAGTTCAAAGTTACATGTTATATCATGTTATTAATGTGCTATTCTAAATGGTCTAGTACACCAACTTATTTTTCTACTTTTTATGTTTTCTTAGAATACTATCTTCACATACAACATTAAAAATGAATAGTGTTTGCTTTATATAGATAGTGCTGTTGTTCATTGCATGATTATTATAGGATTGTACTTTTGATTATTATAAAGGATATTCGTTGCTTTACTTAGTGATTTTTGCTGTAAATTTTTCTTTGTAGAAAATTAGTATTGCCACATCTGCTTTTTTATAGATTTGCCTGGTTTACCTGTATTTACGCTTTATTCTTTTTTAACATTTTTGTGACATTTTGGTTTTGGTATATTTCTTACTGTTAGATTTTTTTTTCTATTTAAATTCCTCTGATACTCATTTTCTAATTGGTGAATCTAACCCATTTTCATATTAACTGTGATAACTGGTGTGTTTATACTTCTTCCTGCCATCTGATTTTATGTTTTCTATTCATCATGCTTTTCAAAAATTATTTTCTTGATACTTGCTGAATTGTTAGCTGTATTCCATTTCTATATTTCCTGATGGTTTTTCTTAAATTATTAGCAAATATATTCATCTTGATACCAAGAATTCATCAGCATCTAAAACCTGTTACTACCAATGGTAATAGCTAATAGTTATTATTTCCTGTATGTCTGACAGTATTTTAAGCTTCTTACCAGTATTAACTCAATAAATCCTCACAACCACCTTGTAAGAAGGGAGTCAGTTATCCTCATTATTTACAGATGAGGAAACCAGTAAGAAGGTAAGTAATTTTCCAAAAGGCACACAGCTAGTGAGTAGTGGAGGCAGAATTCATACTCAGGCTCTGTATTTAGAGACCTGCTTGCTTCAGCACTGAGCTGTCGGAATATTGTTACTTGTCCCTGCCTACGCACCCTCTCCTTCCAGGTTATGCTGAAATTTACTTCTAGATTGTTGTCTTATCTCTTATGTTTTAAGAAATCTCTAAACATTTACATTAAAGACATCAGCAATCTTTGGACTTGACTTCAAATTTTACTAATTTATTTTTCCTTGACATGTAGAAGTTGGCATGCTTTCTGGGTGCTTTGTTACCTGAAAAATGGCTTTATTTTGCCCTCATATTTGATGGATAGATTGGTTAATAGATATTTGTGGGTTTCATTCAACATTTTGTTGACATTACTTCTTTGTGTTCTAGCATTGAGCATTACAGATGAAAATTTCTATATAGTTTTTCTCTCTGGAAATTTATAAGGTTTGGAGGGGTGATGTGTGTGCTTTGTTGTTCTCTTATTCTTTTTTTTTTTTTTTTTTTGAGACGGAGTCTCACGCTGTTGCCCAGGCTGGAGTGCAGTGGCGCAATCTCGGCTCACTGCAAGCTCCGCCTCCCGGGTTCACGCCATTCTCCTGCCTCAGCCTCCTGAGTAGCTGGGACTACAGGTGCCCGCCACCGCGCCCGGCTAATTTTTTGTATTTTTAGTAGAGACGGGGTTTCACTGTGGTCTCGATCTCCTGACCTTGTGATCCGCCCGCCTCGGCCTCCCAAAGTGCTGGGATTACAGGCTTGAGCCACCGCGCCCGGCCTGTTCTCTTATTCTTTCACTTTAGCCTCTCTTTCTTGAATTTCTGTTACTGCTTTTATCATATCTATTTCTTCTCTTTCTATGTTCTTAGAGAATATCATCACTGAGTCTTTAATACTATCAACTTCAGCTGTGTACATGTTGCTCTTCAACCTTCTTTTGAGGCTTTAAATTAGGCAAATATATTTTTCTTAGAATTTCTGAAAACTCCTTTTCACTGGAGCTTATTTTAATTATATGGATGCCTTATCCTCTTAAACTTCTGTGAAAATAATAACTGGAGTT